GGCAGGTGTTTGCACAGCGCGGCGGAGAAGGGCCCCTGCAGGTACAGCGAGCGACGGGACGGGGCTGCTGGTGTGTCCAGCACCCCTCGCCACCTGCAGCATCCAGCACCCCCGGACTCCTGACACCCCTGCCATTCCCCAATACCTTCTTCATCCCCAGGACACCCAGCACCCCCAGCGCACTGGGCAAGTCCTGCATCTTTGGCACCCCTGGGACCTCTTCCCCCGTGGCTCCTCCAGCAACCTGGGCATTCCCAGCAGCTCTATTACTCCCAGGACCCCCAGAATCCCAGTATTCCCGGCTCCCTTGGCAATTCTGGCACCCCCAGTGCTTTTGGGACCCCTAAGTGCCCCTGGGATGCCTGGCACCCCCGGCACTCATGGTACCCCCGGTACTATGGTTTCAGCTGGGATGGAGTTGACTTTCTTGCTAGCAGCTGGTGTAATGCTGTGTTTTGGATTTGGGATGAGGAATAGCGCGATAGCGCACTGCTGGTTTTGGTTGTTGCTAAGCAATCAAGGCCTTTCCTGTGCCTCAAACTGCCCCACCAGTGAGCAGACTGGGAGGGCACAAGGAGTCAGGAGGTGACACAGCGGGGACAGCTGACCCCAGCTGACCAAAGGGATATTCCGTGCCGTGTGACGTCATGCTCAGTATATTACACCGGGGGAAGAAGAAGGAAGGGGGGACATTCGGAGTGATGGCGTTTGTCTGCCCAAGTAACAGTTAAGCGTGATGGAGCCCGGCTGTCCTGAGGATGGCTGAGCACCTGCCTGCCGTGGGGAGTGGGGAATGAATTCCTTGTTCTGCTTTGCTTTGCTTTTGCTCTGCCTGTTAAACTGTCTGTATCTCACCCCACGAGTTTTTCCTCACTTTTACACTTCTGATTCTCTTCCCCACTGCAACTTGGGGGAGTGAGTGAGTGGCTGTGTGCTCCTAGCTGCCAGCAGGGGTTAAACCACGACAGACCCCCAGCACCCCCAGTGCCCTTGGGACCCCCGGCACCCCAGGACCCTGGGTGTCCCAGCTCCCGCCATCACCTTCTCCCTCACGGCCTGGGCCACGGTGCGGGACAGCATGAGGCAGCACACAGCAGAGGCCAGGACATGCAGGAGCGTGTACAGGACGCGGGTGCCCGTGGATACGCGGAGCCCGCGGCAGGA